TTCACATTAACTTCCAGTGAAATATATTTATGTTTGTGGTTGTAATGTGACAAAATATGGAAAAGTTCAAGGGGTATGAATACTTTTGCAAACCACTGTAAAAAGGACTAGAGAACAGGGGGCTTTTCTATCATCTTGAAGGAAAGAAAACTCATTTCAAGCTCCAGTTAAATGATTTCTCAACTTATTTAAAACAATTCAATCTAAATTTTTAATTGATAAACTTATTAAGAACTTTAACCTTGATCCCAATCTACTGGAACAAATTCTTGATTTTTTTGTTAAACAGAACTCAGAGAGTGAAATTAAATATCAACATTGCAAAAATTTTCAATCTACAATTTCAGTCTAACAATTTTATATCCAGCCAAAAATATTATTGATCTTATTTTGAGACTGATTTACTAAACATGAGCAGAATGTGTAAGATAATTAACCTTGTTAATCTGGAAATTTGACTCAAATTAAGTGAAATAATCTCCCAATGGAGTAAGACAATTGCACTTGATAAGATTCTTGAAATCACTTAATTTGACTCAAATTTTCCTTATTTCAAGAATCTTACCAAGTGCAATTGTCTTACTCCACTGGCATATTATTTCCTTTTTGTTTTGGCATATTATTTCCAAGAATTTAGGTTGAATTTCAGAGTTGACAAGATTAATATCCTTAACATTCTGCTAACAAGATTACTAATCTTACACATTCTGCTCTTGTTTAGTAAATCAGTGTCAAAATAAAATCAATTTTTTTTTGCTGGATAGTGTGAGACTCCGTTAGATGGACAATTTTTGCAGTGCCATGTCAGAGGAAATGTCCTCATCTACAGGATCCCCTCAGGGTTGTATCCCAATCCCAACCAAGTTGTGTCCCAGATTTGTCTCTTTATTCCCATTTTCCTTCTGATGTTTCAGAGCTGTTTTAATGGTTAAATGTCAGACACCCATCCATCCTCAGGACAGTCACTAAAGAGCCAGGTTGTTGACCATGGGGGCAATTAGAAGAGTCTGAGAACCATAAATGGTGGCTGACCACATTTCAATTGAAATGTTAAAAAGATCTATGGTTAGTTGTGATAGACTTTATTTGATCAACATATATTTTAACTGTAAAAAGTGGTAGTTAACAGTTAAAATAAATGTTTATCAAATAAAGTCTAATGTTACAATTAATCATGGATCCCTCTAACAAGCCGTGCAAGAGCAGTTTGCGGCATATTGACTGCCTTGCAAACTTTAAAAAACTTAATCTTACATCGAGTCTGTTGCAACCTCTATTATGCTGTCATGCAACAAACACCAACATTAAAGCCAAGTAGTCTGTAGAGCAGAGCTGCCCAAAGTGGGGCCCGCAGGCCAAAATTGGCCCACCAAACCATTTGATTTGGTCCATCAGCAGTTGTTACACAACATGCAGGTTGTAATCTCCTGTCTAATGTAGAAACACTATATTTCCACTTTCATTCCAACTATTGATCTAACTATATGGAACTGTGGTGCAGATAATCTTATGGTATGTAATTTATCTTTGCATTATATTAAGATTAATCATAAAATACAAGTAACTACCAGAGACATTTAGATTGGAATAAAGCACATGTCTAGATTTGCACACTTTATAATAACACAAACACTAAAATTTAAATGAATGAAGAGTCCACCGCACTGGCGTGGCCGCTAGCTTTATCATAAAAACTAAAACAACTTTACTTAAGAAGTATTTGCATTTAATGTTTTTATTATTATTTATTTATTTTTTATTTTATTATTATTATCATTATTTTGCATTTGGCCCACAGCCCTCAGATCGATTTGCATTTTGGCACTTTCAGGGAAAATGTTCAAGTAGGGGTCTCTGCAGAACATGTCCTGTGGGCAGAGACGGCCCAAATCGTCATTGGCCGAGGTCTTAATGTAGGCAGAGATGGCCCTGCTCGTGATTGGCGGAGGTCTTGATGTAGGCGGAGATGGCCCGCAATGTGATTGATCGGATTGACGGTGGGGTTTGAGGCTGGAGGCAGCGGGGTGTAGCTTGGTCGAGTCGGGCAGGAAGTAACATGTTTTTTTAAAAGATTAATTTTAGTCATAACTTGAGAAAGGAAAATGCTAGCTGCACGAAATTTGAACGTCATAGTTACATGTGAAAGGATGTGTAACAATATGGCTTGGTTAAAACATCCCTAACCAGCCTGTAAAAAATATTGATTTTTAGCTATCTTTTAACAGGCTGGTTAGGGAAGTTTTAACCAAGCCATATTGTTACACATCCTTTCACATGTATGACGTTCAAATTATGTACAGCTAGCACTTTCCTTTATCAAGTTATGACTAAAATTAATCTTAAAAAAACGTTGCTTCCTGCCCGACTTGATCAAGCTACTCCCCGCACCGTCAATTTGACCAATCACGTCTTGGGCCATCTCCGCCCACATCAAGACCTCCGCCAATCACGAGCAGGGACGTCTCCGCCCACAGGACAAAACCTACTGCAGAGACCCCTTACTTAAAATGTTTGGGCATCCCTGCCGTAGAGCCATCATCATCTTAAATAACATGAACTTGTATTGGGGACAAAAAAATCTTGATAGCTCAGGTAAAGTGTTTGTAGTGTAAAACACCATGTTAGTACACTCTTCAAGCAGAACTGAGGAAACCAGCTGGTCAGGATCTACATTTAAACTTTATCAGTTCAGAAAAAGTTTTGTAAATAAAAAGTTTGGATTCTGGTCAACAGAGGGTTAGTTATACTTTTGTTAGCAAAGAGAATTATTCATCCATCGAACTAGTCGTGTTCTCCATTTAGTCACTTTCAGCAGGCGCTCAACCCTTAACAAGTCGAAGGGAGGTGCAGTTAAGGATTTTGGCAGGATCGGGAGTGACGAGATCAACCAGGAATCCTTCAGCTAGAGACACTTTCAGCAGTTCTTCCACAAAACTTTGCAAATCTTTGATTTCAAAAAGTCCTCGGGACATGTTGACGACATCATCTGAGCATGTAGCCTCAGGGTTAGTAACAGTTAACCCCCGGTAGCCTTGCTTGTCATACTGGTCCTGAGGGAGGTCATCAGGCTTTGACACCCACTCCAGTTCCAGCCTGTTCTGCCTCAGGCTGCATGGATGGGACCTAATGGACCCCTGAGATGAACTGTAAGAGAAGCGCTCACAAAGCAGGGCTAGGAAAGCCCTCCAGGTACAAAAGAGGTCAACAGTGAAGACTCGAACTGAGCATGTGCGGAGCTCATAGTTTTCTGGGCCATGGCGCAAGTTAAAATGGAGGATTCGGACCTAGAATGAAAAGAGAGAGTATGCTGACAAGAACTCCAAAGTGTACACAAACAAAGAAGCAGTTCACAAACTAGATCACAACTGCAACCTTTGCACACTTTGTGTCTAAACACCAGCCTGAATGTTTTACTTTTTTAATCTGTCAACAGAACAAATTCTCCACTAAAACCGAATGTAGTAAAAATAATTTTAGGTACTATCCAACATGAATGAAAACAGGACCAGATTAGAGCTGGTTTGGATCTGTTTGGCCCCAATGATGGGCAAAGATTAAAACACACACTTGTTTTGGAATCTTCAGTAAAAAAAAATTAAAAAATGGGTAGAAAATCACAAAATCAGAAGAGTCGTGGATCATGTCCGATTGTTTAAACCTTTCTTTAAGATGCTTCTTTCTGTGAAACTTAACACAATTTAAGAAAGTTGTTTGGAGAAAAATTATACAGTTGTGTTCAAATTGATTCAACCCCCACAACAGTAAAGTGTTTTAGCAAGTTTGACGTTTATTTTTTATCTTGTTCACAATCAGGTCAAAGAAGGACTTTAATAATAAACAAATGCAACTTAAATTACAATATTCTTTCTACCAACAAATATCCTTTTTGTGATTTCTTCAGTGACAAAATTATTCAACCCCTTAAAAATGACCACTCTCAAGAATAGAGGTCTCAATCAGGTGTCTTCAGTTAGGCGTTGAAAGCACCTGTAGGTGTGAACAGAGCCATAACGAGCAGCAATTAAGCAGATTTATAAGGACTGAGATATTCAGCTCCTTCTACAGTTTGCAACATGGTGAAGTCCAGGTAATGATCAAAGAACCCAAGAGAGGAGGTCATTTCTCTTCATAAGCAATGATGCGGATATGAAAGATAGCAGACATTAAACATTCCAAGAGACACAATTGGAAGCGTAATTTGCAAGTTTGAATCTAAAGACAGGGCAAACACTAATCGTGTTTCCATCCATTTGTAGAGTGAATTTTTATCAAACTTTTCAAAATTCGCAAAAAATTAAATAAATAAAAATTCAAATCTAGACTGTTTCCATCTAGTTTCCTTCTTGACTGTTTGATGCGAATAAACGAGGCTACGCAACGCGTGATTACGTCAGACCTCAGCGACAAGCCTTGTGGTAGTAAACAGGAAGTGAAACTTGCTAACTAGCAGAGGCTAATCATCTCGGGACAATGGAGCGAATTTTTTCGTGAATGCCTTGCTATTGGGCAAGTTGTAATTATTCTATCTATTCAGCTAGTACAGGCTATGTTTAACGCTGCCAGGAGACGTAGGGTGTTTACGCGCGTTTATGATAACATCCGGGACGAGGCAGGAAAGCGGAAAAAGCTGAACGTCACGTGAGGTAAATATGCGCTACGTCAGAATTTATTCGGCAAACGTGTTTCCATCTCCCGTTTTGCGCATTAACTACTTGGCGAATCATCCAAAAACCACCTCAAGCGAGCATAAAAACCTTTTAGCGAATTGAGGATTTTTTTTTATAATTTTGCTGTTTTCATTCGACTTTTTTTTGCATTTTTAATGCGACACTTCTAAATGTGCATCAAAAAGCCTTGATGGAAACACGGTTACTACCTGGGTGTGGCAGAAAGAGGTTGCTGTCAATGACTGCTGTCCGTTACCTGAAACGAAAGTTGGACAAAAATCCCCGGCTGACAGCTGAGGCACTGCAACAGGACTTGTCAGAGGCAGGCACTCAGGTTTCAGCCCAGATGATAAGACGCACACTGCAAGATGAATGCCTCCGTGCCAGAACTCCCAGACGCACCCCTCTACTGACTCCAAAGCACAAGAAGAGTCGACTCCAGTATGCCAAAAAACGTGGACAAACCACAAATGTTTTGGGACACTGTTCTCTGGAGCGATAAGGGAAAATTGGAACTCTTTGGGCCTATGGCTCAAAGATATGTTTGGAGGAGGAAGAACGAGGCCTGTAAAGAAAAGAACAACTTGCCTACTGTGAAGCATGGCAGTGGGTCAGTAATGCTCTGGGGCAGTTTTGCATCTTCTAATACAGGAAATCTACACTGTGTGTAAGGTAGGCCTGTCACGATAACAAATTTTGCTGGGCGATTAATTGTCTCAAAAATTATTGCGATAAGTGATAATATTGCCTGGTGACCATTTTACAACTAATAATTATAAAAGCGTAATATGTAAGTGTAATAAATCAATAAACTTTAATTTTTAAAAGAATGTTTAACAAAGTGGACTCTCAGTCTCTAACAAAAAATGCACTTGAATAAAAAAAAAACAAAATGTAAATAAAACACCACACACAACTAGGACAGTAAATAAACAATATTAAAAAGCAGCATCTCTTTAGAGATTAAGCAAACTACACAGCCTGGTGAGGACCCACTGTTTCTTATGAGGACATTAGCCCAGTTCACATCCCATGTAAAGTGTAGGCTAGGTTTAGGGTCAAATGGTAATAGAAAATACTGGTAAATGAATGAAAGTCAATGCAAAGTCCCCATGAGGATAGAAGAACAAATGTGTCAGTGTGTGTGTGCGAGGAGGGGACAGTCAGCGAGGAGACAAGCAGAGCGCTGCGGGGAGGAAATCAGACAGTTCAGAGTTTTCCTCATGAGTTGTTGGGACAGCTACAGTTTTTTTGGGGGGTGTTTTGTTAAAACACAGATGCTGCGTTTAAGTTTCCTGTTATTTTTGGGAGCTWCAGGTAAAGTCTTGACAAGTTTGTCGCGGGTCTGGGGGAGTTTCAGCCCCCACCCCTTCTCCTCCTCTCTCTCTGTGTCTCCCCGCAGCGAAGTTCAGGCTCTGCAATTGCTCAGACACTGCATCAGCCGCGTTCTGCTTCTTTAGTTTGTTATTGCTACGAGCTCTCATGCTAAAGCGAGAGTTCACTCCTCCCGACACTAAGAAAACAGGAGGGGAGGAGTCAGCTGAGCTCCTGTGTAGCGGAGCACAGAGAGGGAGAGACGAAGTGAACAAACAAGCAGGAAAATGAAACTTATCGTCCTCATTTTTTTTAACCGACCTCTAGTGTAAGTTATCATGAATTCAGTTAAATACCAGGAGATCTTGCGTGAAAATATCACGCAGTCAGTGACAAAGCTGAAGCTTGGGAGACATTGGACCTTCCAACAAGACATTAGTTAAGTTTACATGCGCAAAAGTCTTTGATCGGATTGAAATGTATTTCAATTAAATAATCCGAATGTATTGTTTAAATGGGCACAATCCAATCATGATGAATGTTTACATGCATCAGGCTTTTATTCAGAATAGAGGCACTGACATGCGCAGTTGTTAAATTTCCCTAAAAAAAACAGAAGATCTACTTCTCTGGTGAACATAAACAAACGTCTTCTGAGCACCCAGAATGGACCCGCGACAGGTTTTAATAATGGTGGAGGCATTACTGCACTCCCTGGTTGACATGCAGATTTGGAGGGGTAAGCAGCACATGCTGTTTGTTCTCTTTTATTGAATGAGAAAACAGGAGGAAAAGTTCTGTGCTGCTGGAAACTATAGCGCTGCTGCCACTCCCTCCACAAAAGAGCAGAAACTGCTGGATGAAAGTCAGAAGATATGCGCAGTCAGGTCAGTTTTCCACAATCAGAATAAGATGATCGGATTAAGTGTTTACATGCACGTTGTTCGAATTATCAATTGGCATAAACCACCTCTCTCATTCCGATTACAAATTCATTCAAGCTGAATCAGATCAGAATAACTCAAATGGTGTGTTTACATGATGCATTTTTATTCCGAATGGCCGTTTAAATCCAGTTACTTATGTCCATGTAAATGTAGCTACTGATCCCAAGAATACCTCAAATTCTACCAGGGCTTGGTTGCAGAAGAAGGGTTGGAGGATTCTGGAGTGGCCCTCACAATCACCTCACTTAAAAAATCTCTGGTGGGACTTGAAGAAGGTAGTTGCAGTACACAAGCCCAAGAATGTCAATGAACTAGAGGCCTTTGCCCACAAGGAATGGGCTAAAATACCTTTAGATCGCTCCAAGAAACTTGTGTCATGCTATGTTTCATGTCTGAAGGATGTTATTACTGCCAAAAGGAGTTGTACTAAGTACTAATGATTAGAGCTGAGCGGTATGACCCAAATTTTATATCACGGTATTTTCAACAATCACACCAGTTTCACGGTATTTGACAGTATTTTTTTCCCTCACAGCTCAGCTGATAATAAAATGTACAAACTTTGCTTATTGACTTTTTTCTTTTACTATACCTCTGAATCACTGTTTCCCTCCTTTTGTACGTCTTTTCTTCTTTGACTGGTTGTAGACAGTAATCATGCATTCAGGTCCGATCGTGAAGGGTTGAGAAAAAGTCATTATCTGGTCTATCGTTACGCTTTAATAAAACTTAAAAGGACGACTCACCTTGCACACCAGTCAACTCAGCTACACAACAAATCTACTTCCCCCCGGCTTTTCACAATAGAAGCATGCTAGAGTCACCATGCAATAACGTCTCCATCATAATGTAGCGTGTTAAATCTAACGTGCACATCACTGAAGAGTTGTTTACTACATTCAGCCATGGTGAAAACGGGATGTTTCTTTTAACGTCAGACCATTTAAGCAGCTGAAACACCACCCGCCCCAGTTGTTCCAACAATAACGTTAGCATGCTAATGCACTTAGCGGTGCTGCGAGGAAACGTGTCACCCACGAAACAGTTCACTGGTGGTTGCAATGAAACTTTCCACAAGTGTTCAGGGTACTTACACCGTTATTCAGAAAATTCATATCATAACAAAAATAAAAACCAGTTTTCGGTACAAAATGGTATTCCGCCCAGCACTACTAATGATGTATGTAACTAAGTGGTTGAATTCATTCAAGTCATTGAGGAAATTACTAAAAGGACATTTGTTGGTATACCTGAAAATATATTGTTGAAATTTAAGTTGCATTTGTTTATTATTAAAGTCCTTCTTTGACCTATTTGTAAACAAAATAAAAAATAAACATCAAACTTGCTAAAACA